ATCTTGAGTTATCTTGTTTTTTTTATATATAGTTTATTAACTAATATCCAACTTTCTTATAAATAAAGTATATTTGATTTTTATTTATATTTCGATACTGTTTTTTGTTATTGTTATTAAAACTTCGATATTTTCTATCTATATAGAAAATGCTTATTTCGGGAGGGTGAGCATTTTTATAAATTGAAATAAATGCTTACAAATCCTCTATTAAATCTATTATCTTTTTGTTCGATCTGAAGTACACTAATGCGCATATCTTGATAGATTTGCAAATATTAATTATTTTTTGATAAATATAAATGTATATACAGAGTTCCGGTGAAAGATTTTTCTGTATATATCAGAGTTTTGTAAATAGAAGTTTAAGATAAGCAATTATATTTTTATTTTTGTTCTTTGTTATAATCTTTTTGAATAAAAGTTCTTTCTATTTGAATAAAGTATTTCATTGATATTCCTTTTCTTTAAATGTTCATAGTATTATACTACAAATATTATCCATTATTGTTGACATTGATTCTAAATTAAAATAATAAAATTCAAGTGCGATATTGACTAATATGGTTGAAAAAGCTCTTAAATAATATTTAGGTTCGAGGTCAATATGCTAACAATAGTTGATAAAAATAGTATATTTGAACTCGAAATGATTGTTATTATCTGAAAACTTTTCGGATTTCTAATAAAGTTTTGTCAAATTAGTCAAGCTGTAAGCGATATTGGATTTTTATTGATTTCGCGGATATTCTTTATAATCTTGATTATTGTTGTATTTATTATTATCTTTTTCATTTTTTTCATTTTCGCCTCGTCCTCCTTTATTTCCATCTCATTTATTTTTATTTTCTTTATAGTCTTTTTCGTTTCGTTTTTCTTTGTTTTTTTTCTTTTTTCTTTTATTATTTCCTTTATCATTATTACTATTATTATTACTATTATTATTATTATTGTTGTTATTATTATTGTTATTATCGCTGGATTATTTATTTTCTGATCTGATAATACATTCCTATCGTTGATTCGATAATGTAGGTTTATCCTAGAGGGAATTAGGTCTTTCCTTTTTGATATTTTTGGTAGGGCTTAAGTTTTCTTATTCTGATATAACGAATCAGATTCGGGTAAATAAATTGGATTCTGATAATCCTTTATAATCGAATTTTTTTCCTTTCCATTATCTCTCTATTTAAAACAGATTTTGTATAAATCTATTATTGAAACCAAAGAGTTTTTTGATATCAATCTTTATTGGTTTCTTTATAAATATATCTGTAGATTTTTATAAATATTAATAATTGATAATATTTTCTCTTTCTTGTTTAAAGAAAATAATTATATAAGAATACTTTGTTACTATAGTATTTATAATTACAATTGAGTAATATGATTAATAACTCAATTATTTTTAATTATATTTATATATATTGAATTATATTAATAAGCATAGAATATACCAAATACACTAAAGAATGCTAAAAGGTTTTTGTGGGGATACTATTAATATCAAAATCTTTTTATAAAAATATTGTTAATGCCAAAACCTTTTATGGGAGTATTATTGGCATCAAAATAAGTGATCTACACTTAATCTGCCAAAGCTTATATTGACGCTAATCAGTACTACACTTACTTTTTTTTATAGATATAATTATAATTATAAAATATTCATTTGTAAATAATATAATCAAAAGGATATAAATAAGATTTCGATTGTATATTTAGAATCTATAAGTAAAGAATTATATAAAATACTAAAAGAAGGATTATATATATAGATATTTAGGAATCATAAAGACTAGGTCCAAAAAAGTGAAAAAGTTCTAGAGATAAGCATTATATAATGCCTAGGTTTAGAACTATAAAGTTAGGGCTTTAAACTATAAAAGAAAGATCCAAGAAAGCCATTGTATTATACTATGTATATAGTATAAGCCAGTGGGCGGAAGAGAGCCGTCTGTTCCGTCACAATTTTCAATCAATTAAAATTATAAAAAGAGCCAAACAAATAATAGTAATTCTGGTTTTGTACAGCTTGAAACAATATACGAGTACGCTATTAGCTCTTATCATTTTCGCTATCAACCATCCAAGCCCCCCCACCCCCCACCCACAGAAGCATGAACATCAATCCATCCATGATCCAATTGCCTCATCAAAAGCTTCAAATCCGAGGTGGAGAAAGCAGTGGGGGTAGATGCGTATACATTCTGCAATCCTTGGATTGCTACCCCGCCACCACCCCAACACTTAGCGACTACTCTGTAGATTTCTGGTATCTGAAGCTATGCCATATGGGACTGAGGCGACCAATTTCCTCGGGCGTGTGCACATACTCCTGGCAGAATCCAGTGCATGTCAAATGAATCGTCGTGATGTCCAATATCCAGTGGTACAGCAAACATCTTTGGGCTCCAAGGATAACAATAATGACAGACAAAATAGAATAATGCCCAAAATCAAAACTCAAATGCAATTTGAAGGGCAACAGCCAGTCCGTCCACGTGATAACTCCCTTAAAATAGCTAACGCCTAGATGTGGGTAACATACAACATAAAAGTCATCAAATCATATTAGCCGAGACAAAGTGTAGGTCTGCAATCAAGGACGGAAGCGGCTTGCACTCCTTTCTTGAATTTGCTGCTCTGTTGTAACGTATAATCGGTCCAGGTAAGACATAGCCTCCGCGTCCTTCAAAATTTTGGCAACCTGTATTCCTGCAGAGATCAATTGGAGGATATTCCTGTCATCTTTTAACGGGCGTGATTGATGCTTTGCGGCATGTCTCATCTCTAGGCTGTTTTCCAAGATGGTAACAAACTGCTTTATCTGGCCATTGTACAACACCCGGGCAGGTATGCGTCTCTTGGTGGCAAGACGTTTTAGAAGGTATACCCACTCCGTCCATTCTCGGTCCTGTGGTCGTTCCACAGGCCGACAGCTATCACTCAGAGGAATTGGAAACTGGTACTTGGCAACAAAGTCGAAAGCGCACTGTGACAGCCTGTCATTAACGCTAGTTAGGACACTGTCCTGTTCCTGTACCACAAGGTTTGTTGGCAGATGCGGCAAGTCTCTCTCCTGCTGGGCAATGTATTCCGGGGGCGGCCGTTGTAAGAATTGATGGGGTCCATCAAATTCATCCCTGTTAGATGGTCGCCTTTGGGAATGGCCTTTTCCAACACTTCTGGCTTCTCCGGATGACCGAGGAGCGGACTCAAGTGCATAGTCCGTTGGGCTGGGAGACGCAACATAAGATTCGTCCATGTAAGGCTCGGGCGAAACCCTACCTTGGGGCTCCCAACTTGGACCTTGACTTGCGTATGAACCATAACCTGGTCCTGCGGTTCCGTATACATTTGACGATGAACCAATGCTATAAGCATTGGATCCATAAATTGGATCCGGACGGACCAGGGGCCTCGAGTTCATCGGTGCAGTGATAGAGGCGTAAGGCGAAGCACTAAGACTCGGGGCGTATGATGCGCTTGGAGATTGGTTTCAGCTTCCTTAGTTCCGATCATGAGATGCAAGCGTCCTTACCTGATATTTGGATAAAATGGGCCATCGAAACTCGCGCGATTGCCGGTGGAATATGTGCTCCTGCTGGTTAGCCCTCTGTTCTCTCTTTTTGCCAATTTGTCCGCATACCTTCTCGCTGAATCCGGTAGACTCGTGGGAAATGAACGTCCATAATCAAATTCTGGTTGGATGTGAATACTTCTTCTCGATGCCATCATTTTGAAATGTCAAGTCAAGATCCAGTTTCCAGAGCCAAGATCCAGAGTCAAGAGGAAACTTGATATCGGCGGTAGTCGATACTTGTACAATATGAAAAGAATTGAGATGAGATTGGGGACAGTTCCTTCGTCGGATGACAGTTAAATGCAAATGGCTCCAATATTGGTATTATAGATTGGTTGTCCAAGATTAAAAAGATGGACCCAACAAGGATATCCAAATTCAGGAACAGGGGCGGTGAGAATGAGAATGCCAGGTGATCCAAGGATTTTATGATTTTCGAAACAACAAAACTTTATGCTGTCGGAAGGGAAAGAGAAGGGCTCAATCTCAAATGTTATATAGACAATTCATTGACTTATACAGTACAGATGAAGCTCACTCGAAGCTATACCGATACATATACAAGCTTGAGATATCAAACGTCAAACTCCGGGCCCTAAAGCACTTACAGTCAAGTCATGAAGCTTTGACCCGGGATGAACAATGATTTGAACTGAAATGGGGATTCTTGTGCTCCCAACAACCTTGAATCTTGAATCTTGAATCTCACAGTCTTCAGATCAAAAGTTGGGTTTTGCCCTTGGAAAAGTGTAGTGTGAACTTTGAAGTGAAGAAGTTGATCGGGATGTTCTCTCAAAACAGAGTTACTCGGCGTTTGGAGATCGTCGTCTCTCATTCTGTTTTTGCAAATGCTGGCAGCCATCAGGTATTAGAAATCTTATCGAATCGCGAAAAATCGACGCGCGACAAGCCAGATGGTAGGTATTGTCCAGGACTGACCTCGGAGCCAGTGGGATGTTTGTCCGCTTTGCTATTCGGTGTCACTTTGGTGGCTGCATCAGGTATCAGGGCATCAAGCATCAGGCATCATTGGGCAATTTATCTTCCTATTGATTTGAACAAGGTGTGACAATGCAATGCAATAAAGCAAATATCGGTAATGAACCTGTTTTACACATACTTAGGTAAGAATCAACATTTATTGTGACACCACTACAGGGCAAAAAAGGGGACAAGGAAAGTCCTTGGTGTGTGGAGAAAGAAGATTAGACTAAATAGATTATATAATTGGAAGATATATTATTGAAGGGGATTATATGATCTATATTTTTATAGACTTAGTAGAGAGTTGTTGCTGTATTCAAACGGCTGGTTGGTTGGGCATAAACGCGTCAACAAGCCCAATCGATGCATTACTGCCTTTTCTTGAAATAATATTAAGGTGTACAGTACAGTATAATACTCGAATACTCATGATTGTGAGCCTCATACTCAACAGAATACGTGGTATTTACGAGTATTCTACCGGTACGTAGTTTGCTATTTTGACTAACTGCCGGTGATGTTTGACAATATAATATGTTACAAACCTCGGCAATCGTACTTGGGGAGAATTGTCACTGATCTAATGTGCCATTCAACCAAATTATTTTGAGAAAACATCCGAAAGCCATCTCTGGGTAATTAATGCGGCGATTGCTTCACACCAAGGCTTTGTCAACAGGGTGGTGCTTTACGTGGCGGCTGCTTCAACTATCAAATCATATTGACAATAAAGTTACATTGAGCCACTCCAAACATCAAACATTATCATCATCCTACAAACTTCAACGAAAAGTTACCACACCGACATCTTCTTGTCGGCAAAGCTTAATATACGAAAATGGCCATATCTCCAAGCAAGGAGAGGATTAGAGCAAAAGCAGTTGCATTCTGCCAGGCTTTCGTTGATGGACTTTCACCTAACATTATCTTGTCCGAATACTTTACGTCAGAACCACGAATTACAGAACATGGTCCTGACAACTCAGAGCTCCCATTTCTTGGTAAAACATTCTTAGGTCGTAAATTTGACTCTTCCAGCAATCAGACGTGCGACGATTACTTCATCATTCTTACCAAATCACTTGAGTTCGAGCCCTCACCGACCACATTCCCTTCACCCAAGTCCTTCGTTGTCGATGAGACTTGCGAGATTAATGGGAAGAAAGGCGTGGTCAGTGTTGTTGGGAGTGCAAATTTCAGAAGCCTGAGAACAGGCAAAGGATGGAATGAGCAGTTCATATATCGATTGAGTGAATTTGATAGGGACGGAAAGATCGGACATTGGGAGATCTGGGCCGATGCTCTCTCCGCCTGGAACGCTGTTCATACTTGATGGACGATTTGATTAAATGTTTGGGGGACCTTGACAATCAATACTGCCTTTAATATCCGGCATCTCAGCATCTACATCTAATTAGCAGGCTTTCGTCTATGTGCGACGACATGTGACATAGTTGGCACAGTTACGTATGGAACAGGCTAAATTTGCAAATACAGGTGGTGTTACTCAGTACTCCTACATACTACTTGATACTTTTAGTTAGGTCTTTGGTGTGTTTCTCTGGTCAATAACTATTCGTTGCTTCTGCACAGAGTTACGCAAGTCTACAAGGACAGGGCGTATCAAGGCGGCTTGATTGCTTATAGAATCATGCGGGGAAGTCGTTCATCAGTTTTGTTCTCTAATGGCATTTTCTTTATTGTCCACAAAATATCCGTTTGGATGACATCATTGGTGTCATGTTGTCATGTTATATTTCGGCCTCTATGTGTATGGTATTTTCAAAACATTATTTTGAACTTTGACGGCTTGCCAACCATTCGTGTTTTTTGGACTATTCGTCAACCAAGCCTCTCCTTTTCTCGAAATATTTCAAAATAAAGGCAAACATTCCACACGTTTTTTGGATTTGGAGTTGGTCGATGGAAAGTAATCCCGAACAGCAATTCTTTTGCGTCTACAGTCTACCAAATTTAGTTCAAAGGTTCTCTTGTCGGTGACAATACTTATACCTAGTATCGCATATCGACTAATCAACTGCAAGAAATGGTCAATCCTCGGAAGGTATATAACCTATACCAGAACATGTTTCTTTAGATTCTTGATCTTACTCTCAATCGCAGTACCTTCACGGTCGTTATCGCTCCTGTAGCTGGGGACTTGTATACACGACTGTGCGAGCTAAATATATCATACCATTCAGGTATTGGGTTTCGGGGCTCATGATTCCATTAAGGTACCATTGAATCGAAGGATTGAGAAAACGCCAGAATCTCCCATCACTACTCTTACTCGTCGGAGCCAATATTTGGGGTTACTTCGCACGCTCATACAACAACTTGCCAAGTTTAAGGATGGTGGATGGTTTGATATCAACAGCTGAAGAAGCAATAATTCCAAGTGTGGTTGTCGACCTTCCACGAAAAGCGCCATTGCGTGATGTTATTTCAAATTTCTCGGCCCGCTGATAAACAGCTACATCGTGGGATACGCAGGTCAGAGATCGATGATGGGTCTCTCGGCAACCGTCAGCAGCGACGAAATATGTGACAACAATCCTTACGATTTAAGAACCAACCTATCCTAGAGAGAAGACATTTCAAGCTGACCAGACAATGAACACCCTGTCAAACGGAGCTGATCATCAGACCTATTTTTATCAATAGTTTATAACCTAGATGCATCGCCTATAAAACGGCTTCGTGTCACGTTAAAAATCATTGGTCCATTGGAAACTCACCAATCATTATTATGGGCTCGATCGTAGGTGTCTGCATTGACTGGTAAGTCATTTTTGTTTCATAATTCCATTTTGTCTCTCGATCTTTGACTAAGTAGCCGCCAGGAATACATCGGTCCAGTCGCTTGAACACTGGTCGCTGCTCCCTTCCACTGGAGCATCTACAGCCTCGGCCTTCTATCTGTTTGCGGCTTCTTTCTTCATCGGCGCAGTGACTTCGTTTTTTGTCCCTGGTCGTCTTTATAAATCTTGTGGCTACTAGAATGATTGCTCGCTTAAACCATGCAAACCCCGAAGTTTACGTCATCGCAGTTATGTTCCCCGTCGTTATTGATTCTGTGAGCGTCCCAAAATTTGGTCTGGTGATTTTACTCATAAAGCTTAGATTGGTGCTGCTGTAGGTTATGCCATTATGGGGTTTATATTTGTGTATAGGAGCAACATTCTAATTACAGATTGGCTAGATGAAGAGGGCACGGAGAATGCATTCGGGGAAATGCTTGGTATAAAATATGCATTCTTTCCATTATGGGTAATGTTTTATTTTTGAAGGAAACGTATCAGAGGCTAGACGGGAAGACTTTATATCAAGGAGAAAGTGTTGACTCGAGATTAGCCTGTAAAGATATAGGGAAGAAGCTGCAATAATTATTGAGATCGGAGAGATAAAGTTTGATCCCTTTCGTACTTTCTTGCTGTTTAATCTTAGGCATAGTTCTTGTGTATGTTTATGCATCTCATCCTTGCTCCGTGGCATCCTAGAAATGAATGCCTCTGATGAGAGTGCCACATCCAAGCCTAAACAGTATACTCAGTAGTTCCGATGTTCAATATCCGATAAGTGGTCCGACTTTAAGTATTCTTTGACATTTCAAGTGCATTCCGCATATCAATCATTCAAGACTACGGTGTAATCCCAGAATATCTAGCCCAGGTTATCATAAACCCTGGTCTCCAAAGCTTGAGCTCTAAACGAATTCGGAGATTGAATTGTGCTCCTGGTATTAACGTACATATCTCTATCGTTTTGGGATCAAGTGTTTCGAGTGATCAATGTAGATAGTTTCGATCCGGCTACTGCGCATGTAGCGTCCCGGAGCGATGGCCATTATGGCGAAGTAATGGTATCCGTGACTCAGAGCGAATCGCATCTAGAAGCATATACAACCACGCTTTCTGTATCCTTCAGCTCCACCAGGAAGTTGGTGACAATTTTTACTGCAATTGCAACATATATCATCTAAGGCTTAGCGCTATTGGGCCTAGGAGGTTCGCGGGATGCTTAGTCTTAATTCTGGAGACGAAATTATTATTCGAGATATCTACGAATTGAATACCTAAGAAGCAAGATAGAATCTCAACATTAATCGCGACACAATCGTATTACCTCATACATTGGGTGGTCAAAGCATACTTCTTTCAGTGAAGTCTGATCATCGTATCTTTTAGTTCTTAAATTGCCAGTCTAGTTTGTGAATTTCAATTAGCATTGAAATTCAACAAACAAGTGCACTAGTTCGAATAGTCAACTATTTGTACTGATGCTGCCCGTTCACTATGGCTACTGAGCGCCTCCAAGCTGCTAATTTTCAGACAATATCTTTTGTATTCTGAATCCAATAAATTATCCAGCAAATGAGCTCTTGTATGCTGAAGTGAGAAGTGCTTATCTCGTATGACAAAGCTGGACAGTCGACCTATCCGGGTTGTCATCTCATCCTGAATTAGATAGCTTCATATTAGTGGTGCAGATTCAGATAATCTATTACTTGACGAAGCCCAACAACTACTTGGATGAGACTAGAGGGATCCAATATCGGTCAATACCGCATGATCAAACTTCGTCCAGTTACTCCGAGTCCGTAGTTCTATCAAACAGCCACTCTTCTCTTACCATTTCGGACAAGTGCTCGTCAATTTGTAAGGTCAAAGCGCATGATTATCTGTCTGTAATAAAATGATGATATCACATAAACTTTAAAAAAAAGTCGAGTTCTCAAAAGAGGATATCCGAGTCGGCCCCTCGAGACCTGTATGGGGTTTGATTAACCTATAATAACAGACGAAAAGCATTCAAAAGCATACCTAAAATCGGAGATTTAGGCTGTTCGGAATGCTATTCCATCTCTAATAATGTGTAAAAGTCTTGATTCGGCTGAGAATTTCAGTAGTAATTTATTAATTTTCTAAATGAATAGAAGATAAGTCAACTACCCTACTTTCGGGCCTCCCTTTCACACCAAAAACAGTGATTTTTGATTTTTATAACTTTTTATTCATTCGATATAATTGAATGAAATTTTAACTATAGATTCTTTATATAGTTATTGGATCAGGTACAGATTTTCAGAATTTTAGTAATTTTATATAAAAA